TAATTTTTTGATACGTAAATTGAAATAAAATATAATTAATTGAGCATGCAAAAAATAAGGATATCTTCATATTAAATTTATCAAGACGGTTGATTATAACTATCATTTAAATGAGACACAATAGTTATTTAAATAGAGTTTTACTTAAATAATCATTGCAATTGGATATCTTAACCATTTTAATATTAAGATATCATAATTTTAATTTTTTTATAATTAATTCTAAAAAAATATTTATCTATCTTACTTCTTAAAGGTTAAAAAAATATTATTATAAAATTATATTATTTTAATAAATACCTATTAAAAAAAATTAAAATATCTTAGTTGTAAAGCATAAATTAAATATTTTTTTATCTTTTTTTCACTTAATTTTTTTAAGATAAGATAAACAAATACTAATCTCATAAAAAAAAATAATGCATCTTACATACAATATTACATGCCAGGTAAGCACTGCTACATGCACAAAACTATCTTACAGTCCGGCCTGATGAGCCCAACTGGACCATCAATTGTAGTGCTTAACAGTTTGCATTCTAGCCAGGTTGGACTTCAAAAATCATGAAGTATCAAATTAGTAATTCGTGAAAAAGTGGCATTTTTCTAGCGGGAAAGATTCCATGTAGACTTTCTTTTTATTTTCTTCATACCAGCTAGTAGCGTAGCAGCAGAGAAAAGTAATTATATATATATATATTTTTTCCCGTTGAGTATCTAAGATTTCGTACCTATTAATCCAGATCGACTCGCATTACGTATTTGAATATGGTGGGTGAGTTTCTCAATAAAGACTGCTGCGTACACAAAATTTCAAACTCGAGATCTTATTTAAGTTGGAACAAATTACTTACCACTTAATTCAATCCCTTGTTGGTATATATATATTTTTTAAACATAAAAAAATTTGAGGAAATGAAATTTTTTTTAAATCATTGCTAAAACTAGAATTCTTCGATTAATGGAATTTAAATATCTAGATTTGGAACCAACTACTAGATTTGATAGATTAATTTGAAAAGTAATTTTGTATATTAAAAGTATAATTTATTTTATCAATTTATTTAAATATTTTTAATAAAATTATTTTTAAATTGATACTCTAAAAATCACCTTTTTTTTTTTTTGTTTTGTGTTTTGTACATGCGTTGGACTACTATCATTTTATCGTCTAATTAATAAATTTATTTTGTGGGATCTTAGACAAATGTAGCAGTGGAAAGCATGGTAAGAAAATACATTATACACAGATAGGGATAATCATAACTTAATTAACCGCAAATTATGATAGATTTACGAAACGATGTCGTATGAGAGTACCCCAGCAAGCACACATGACTACATACAGAAATTCAGGAAAGATTTTGTATAGCATCATGAGCAATCAGCCTTGGAAACTTTTTGTTTAATTAGCAGAGTGACTGCTCATGATGTTATATCATTTTCATGAAGCTCTCTAGCTAGCTGGTGTGCCGCCGATCGGAAACAAGAAAAAAAAAAAAAACCAAACACTACTCCTGTCTACCGGAAACCACAGCCGAGCGCAGGAGCCCAATAATCTGCTCCATTGTCGCTCCCCACTTGCACAGTGCACGACAGCGGCACCAAACACAGCCCTCTACTCCTCAGATCTCTCTTTGGTTCTTCATTAGAATCCTAAAATATCAAAAAATTACACATTACTACTAAATATTCCAATACTAAATCCACAGCAACAAAAGTGCTTTGCTGTCACGATTTATTTGAGATTCAACCCTCTGTCGTAATGATTTGTTTGCTCTTAAAAAAACAGTGAGTACCTGTTCAGGACCACCTTTTCTCTTCATGCGCTTATCATTTAACAGCTGTGCCCAAAAAAATTAAAAAAATTGAAAAATGAGACTTTAATTATTCGAAATGAAACTGGGATGCTCTCTAATCATTCTTTAATTGATGTTTAAGCATAAAGGCTTCTTGAATAAAGCTGAGAGCATCGTTACTTCAACAGACTTTTAAGTTCTAAAAAGAAGAAAAAAGAAGTAAACTGAGAAGCTTTTTAAGATTTCCAAATTCAAGTTTGGCTTTGTTGCCACCAAGTCCCTTTGAAGTAAATTATATGGTAATGGATCCAATAAAGGTTTAACCTTTATTACCTGACCAGGGTCTTCAGGAAATATGCAATTCTTCTCCCCTTGAACCTGTCCAAGATGATCACATCACAATCATTAATCAATCAATTAATGATGATCGTATTTGCTGTCCATAAATATTCTCATGCACATGCATACACACAATCACATTATGTGTTTTTTTGTTTTTTTTTGGAGGGGCTTACAGAGTTTTGGTGCTGCCTCATGCTTCCTGATCCATTTCCCAAGTAAGGCTGGCTGAGGGCCTGAAAATTACATGGTGGGGAAAAGGAATAAAATTGAGGACTTCAATGAGATCAAAAAGAGAATGTTAAAGGAATATTTAATGTTTAGTATCAGAGTACTTGAACAGAACAGTTCATGGTTGTTTGTAAAGAAACCAGAACGAAGGAAGGAAGAAACATCACCTCAATTTGACCATGAAGGAATCTAATGTACCCGATAGCCTCTAACAAGACAGAGGCTGTGTCCGTCTGCAAAAAGAAAAAAATTTTCAACACACCATATACATCCAAAACAAATTATGATAATTTCATCATGCACATTGACGCATCCTTTCTAATTTGAATCCTTATTAAAAAAAAAAAAAAACCTTTCATCTTTTTGGAATAAAAGGACTTCCTTTCCATAAAGAATAAAATGTTTTTATTCCATTTTCATCTTCAGCAAGGCTTAACCAAAAATATTAGAACTAATTAGGGTTTGGAAAAGCTTTACCTTTCCAAATGGAGAAACTAGCTGGTGAAGAGCTGTGATTCTGTCCCCTAGTTTCTCCTTCCTCACCTGCTTCAATTACATTTCAAGAACGATTTAACACTAGTTGGTAAGACCAGTAGGTGGGATCAAGTTCAAGAATATAATTCAATACATATGCTTTAGATGTCATCTTCAAACTCGAAACCAAACACTAGCTTATGAGATTCATCAGTCTAGTGGGACTTCACACACATGACTCCCAGCTATATACTAATTTTCATTGATCGGTTTTTATTGTTTTAGCAGATTATTTTTTGTAAGAATTATAGTTTCGTCAATATATCTCCCAAAGAATCGTTTCTAGAAGAAATGGACAATAAATAAAGACAATATATACTTGCCCTTCCATGGGTGTTTGTGTTTGTTTCTATTTGTGGTGTCTTGTGTAAATGCATCTGTGTTTCAATGTTGAGATAAAGAAAGAGATGGATATTTTTTTACTGTGCTTTGTTCGTTACCTTGAAGGGAGATTGGGTTGCAGAAGCCTGAACCCTGGCTTTCTTCATTGCCCCACCGCCAGTTGCAGAGCTGTTACACTGCAAAAAAAGGAAGGAGAAGAAAGAAGAAAGTATCCGAGAATTCAGATTCAATATCTAAAAATTCTAGAATACTATTTGGAATTGCACTTTTAATTACCTCGGAAGATCGATCTGCAGGTGGATGCTTTCCGTTCGGATTTTTGCTGGAAAAATCCAACATGTTACTGCTGAAGCTTGTGATGCAGGACTTAGGGGATGAAGTGGCAATAACGGGAGACCAAGCTGGCTTTGAAGCCCGAAAAGCTTCATTTGCATGTGAATAGACATAGCTTCCAGTGGAATTTTCTTCCTTCACATGAACATCCACAACAGAAGCACTGGAGCCTTGATTCATTGCCTGTTCTTCCCAGTTCTCCGGCTTTTTTGCGTGGAAATGGCCCATTCCGCACTTTGTTTCTTCAGTAATTAGTCCTCCCCTAATGAAAGTATATCATCATATGGAGCACAAGAAAAGAAACCCGATTGATTTCATCACTCTTTTATGTATGATCAGTCAATCAAGTTTAAAGATCAAAAAAAGGAAAAACCAAAAAACAAAAACATGTGCATGTTATGTGTACTCCCTTTAATCTACATTCGCTCTTGGTTGATAAAAAAATTGTGTTCATGTTTTTCAAAAGAGTCGAAATGAATCACTCAAGAAGACATCTCAATAGTTAAAAATTTGAGACTTCCAATTATGAGTCAAGAATAGGTTTGAGAAAGGAGAGGGCAAAAACCACTATTGTATAATTAGCCATATATGTACAAAAAAAAAAAAAATTATCCAAAGGAAGAGACTGAGAGTAATTACAAGAGAAGTTGGTTCCATGACTCGGGAAGCTCCTGGTGATCATGCCAAGAAGGGAAAGGAAGGGGAGAGGATGAGGAGGATGAAGAAGAAGAAGTGGGTGTGTATTGATGAGGAAAGAAAGAGGGAGGTGGAGGAAGGAAAGGAGAGGTTTGGTGATGAGGCGCCGGTGGGCGCATGGTGTTGATGCTCCACCAGTTAGGGTTTCCGGTCATCATCTGTTGCACAGGTGAACTCTGCAAGACTCCTCGGTTCATGGTCTTCTCTTCTCTCTTCACTTTTCACTTTCTTTCCCTTTCTCTTTTCTTGAAGCTCCCAAACAGGTCTTATAGAAACTTTGAGAGGTGCTCCTTGTGTGGCTTAAGTAGGAGGGGAGACCCCAGCAGCTGTTGCTGTTGAAAGAATTTTTTTTTTTTTTTTTGTTTGTTGAAAATGTTGTTGAAAGGATTTGAATCATGGAGGTTTGAGAACTATTCCTTGTTTTTTAAATACATCTTTCCTTTGTTTCTTTATTGCTTTGCTTTTTTCTTTCTACCCTTTTCTTTTACGTATTTCTTTTTTCCGTCTTTGCTTTTTCCCTGCTTTTGCTTTATGTTAAAGTGGGACAGGAAAAGGTGGCAGCTATTCTCGATTTCTAATTTGCCAGTATAAAAACACAACAAGGGGAAGGGATTCACTATAATTACCATTTGGTTTACGTTTTTCCCATCATATCTTCCCTTGTGTTACTATTTTTTTATTGTGCACGTATTTTTTTTTTTTTTTCCTTTTACATATTTATGAAGAGTTATAATCATCATCAATAACCAATTAACCACGTTTAATTCTAATGATTCAACTAATTCAATGATAGAGATCATTTTAAGCAAAATTTTCATAAATTCACTTATAAATTAAAATAGATTTTGCTAAAATTATGCATCCATTCTTAGTCATCAAAACCACCATGAAATGGTTGTCATTGAACTTTTCAATTGTTTTTTCTTTCTCCCCCTCAGACCAAGTTGTTAATGGCCTCGCTATATGGTAGGACACCCCCTGTGTTGTGGTTTCCAACCCCAGCAGTAACCCCTCCCCTCCCTAAAATTTGTGAGATTTTGCCATAGTCTGAGAAATATGTTTGAAATATTATTATCAAAACCTACGTATAAAAAAAAGTCATAGAATTTATTTAAAAAAGGAAGTATATATAAATTTTTAAGTTTTTTATTTTATAATTTAAATTATAAAATGAAATAGTTTTATAAAAAACAAATTTTAACTATCCGATCATGCCATGCAATTCAATGTTTAACATAATCATAATTCAATATAATCATAATTGCATAATAAATTTTTTTGTAAATGTTTCTTTTGAATGATATATTACTTAAAGGAAATAATATATACACTTTGAAAAATTACACTTTTCATCATACATTGACGATTTTTTTTATTTTTACTGTTAAATTTAATAATTTTCATTATTTATATCGTTAAAATTGATAATTTCTATTATTATGCCATTAAAATTGAGTGCGTAAAATTCTGCAAGATGTATATATCTTTATCCATTACTTAATTAATATGTATATGTAAATAATTTTAGTAATAAGGTGAAAAGTAATTTAACCACAAACTTAGTGTGTTAAATATTGTAGGCGAGATGAGGTGACCCATGTAAGGACCGACACAAACACCAAACTTTTCAAAGAGGTTAAAACCTATGGTCTCCGTAGGAATGATTACCATTTCCAAGACATTAATTTAATCGTAGCAACATTTTAGCTTCTCTTTATATACTTAATTTTTAGTTAATATCATGTTTTGAGATTGGTATTTGAGAGCCATGTATCTAAAAAAAATTAAGATAAATATTTTAAAATTATATTGTCGTATTAAAGTTTTATGAGAAAAAATCAAAATAAATTTAATTTTAATTTTAAAATGTATTATTTTAGTGTTTTTTCTAATGAAAGCTTTTTGAAATAAAATAGTTTTTGGGTCTTTTTTCTCTTTATTTTTTAGAGTCTTAGCTCACAAACACTTTTCTCAAGGGGCATTTGCAGTGGGATTGGTTTGAACTTTAATATTTTTAAAATTAAAATAATTTAATTGGTTAATAAAATTTTTAAACTAATCTAATTCACTTTTATATTATAACCAAACCAATCTAATTTAGATTAGATTGGTGTGATTCAATCAAATTGATCGATTTTTAATACTATGTTAAACATATTTGATTAGATAAAAAAATTTGAATATCAAATTGTAGAAAACACAATAATAAATTACACTAATATTATTGATAACAAAATGCTAATTCCAATTAATACAGCAACTAAGACATGTAAGCCAATTTGTTGCCACTTAAAAGGGTAGAGAGTTCTACGAGCAAAGCTTTTGTTTGTATAAAAGATGATTTAGAGTTGCATTATTTTTTAATTAAGTTAATTAAGTTATATTGTATAATTATAAAAAGAATAAAATAAGAAAAGAATAGTTAATACAGTTAATATTATAGTACAACAATTAAAATAATTATACTATAGAAATAAGAGAATTACAACAAGAAAAGAAAATTTCAAATTTTAATTTTTATACAAAAAATATTTTTGTAATACAATTTTGTAATCATATTTTTATTTTACTTAAAAATTCAAAAAATATATTTACAAAAAAATAAAAATATTATATTATTTAGTTAAATTATTTTGAACTCAGGTAGCTTGGTTTATGATGATTTTACCTTCAAACTGACCAATTATATTAATTTTAAAATTTTATAGATCAAACCAACCCAAAATTATGTTGGTTTGGGTTGAATTTTAATTGAATTAGATCAGTTTCAATCAGATCAATTAGTTTAGCTCAGATATAAATAATTGTACTGTTCTCTTATATTTTATAAACAATTATACTTTTCTCTTATATTTTTTACATTAATATGTTTTATTTTAACAAAAAAAGTGTAGTCTAGAACAATTGGAATTGCATAACTTTAACCATCTAACGGGGTAAATCCCCTAATATTAAAAAAAAAGATTGATTTTTGTGCCCTCTGTTATGTTGGTTTGCATTAAAATTATACTAAAATAGTATTTGTGACATCCCTTATTGCAATGATTTACGATGAAAAAATATTGCAATTGAGAGTTTTTTCTTATGGTGATGGGTTCCCTCCCCTATTTAATAATTCTTGTTTTGCAGCAACTCTTATTTTAATTGGCCACTCTGCTATTATAGATAGAAAAAAAAAAAAGAAAAATGAAAAAAAGAGGGAAAAACCATACCTATTGTATGTGTTTTTTTTTTTTAGGTAGATCCATTGTTTTCTACCATCGATAAAATGTAGCTTTGTTTGCCAAAAAACTAAAATAAAATAAAATAAAGCTTTAAAACTTGAAAATTGATTGATACACTTTTTAATTCAACATATTTATCAACACTCATTAATTCAATTATTAAAATTTATAACTTTAAATTTTCTCATTTTAATTTAAATTCAAATTCAAATTCAAATTCAAAAATAATAATTTCATAATGAGTATGTTATACAATGTGTTAAATTAAAGTGTGTCTATATCAATGTTTTTAAAACTTACTACTCTTATTGTTAAGTGGAAAAAATTCAACCTTCAAATATAACATAAGTTGCTTAAATACAAAATGTGTTACTTATTGTTGTCACTTAAATTTTTTTAGAAGAAAAGTAAAAATTAAGACATTTTGATATTTAAAATGTCAAAATTATTTGTAAAATTATTCAAATACTCTTAAGATATGTTTGTTATGAGATAAACAAAATGGAAGGAAATGAAAGGTTGTTAAGAATATATTGGTTTCAGGGAAACAAAATTGAAGGAAATGGAGGGTTGTTAAGAGTATTTTTGGTTGGAGGGAAATAAAGAGGATGACATCATTCATTTCCCTTATTACCTCTTCCCTCATTTAGATAAGTTAAAAAAATTGAAAGAATTATAAATAAAAAATAAATTAAAAGATTTCTCTCCTCTCCCCTCTAATTTTTTTGTAATCGAATAAATGAATTGTCTTACTTCCCTTAAATCAAAAAGATCATTAGTACATTTTTTTAATATATTGATTTATTAAAGGTATTTAAATATTTTTATTATTATTTCTAATATTTTGTTTGCCAAAACATTATGCAATCCCTTATGTTAAATACTCATTTTATATTTTAACTAATATATCAAATTTTCACAAAATATCAAAACCTAGGGCATAGCTTTTCGGAAAACCTGAGACCGATCTACCTGTTAATTAGACTTGCAAATGGAGAGCGTATGTCAAATCTGGATTGTTAGTCCAGAATCCATAAAGTGTCAAGTAATGCCATATATAAAATCTCAAATGATAACATGTTTTTTTCCCCCCTTTTCTTTCTCCTACACTGGACAGCGAAAATTAAAAAAACCCATCCGGACTATAGTTTTAAAGTACGAATTACAAAAGGTTAAATCACAAATTTGATCTTTTCGTCGGCGGAAGTGACCAAGTGCCACGTTACCTTGAATTTGAAAAACACAATATTCAATTAAAAAATTATTTATTTGTTGAATCTCTAAAAAATTTTTTAAAAAATGCTTAAATATTTTGTTGTTTCAATAATCTCTTATTATTAAGATTATTAAGTCTAAAATCACTTTTTTATGGAAAAAAAACTTATTTTTAAAATAAAAATAAGATTATTTTATTTTTTTGCTATAATTTATTGAGACAATATAATTTTGAGATTTTTTTTTTGTAGAAATCTAATTAATAAACATTAATCTTTTACAAAACTACTTACTAAATATATAAAAAATAAAACCAAAACTCAAAGTTCAAAATCATATTAAATAGAGGCTTAATTAAGTTGTTAGTCATTATATATATTTGCAAGTTAGGCACTTACTATTCAACTTTCCAGGGGCCTTTTTGTAAAGACTCCAAAATGACCTCAATGATTTTACAAAACTTTGGGTGTCCAGGCCCCCACCGGCTTCGTTGCTAGGAGGGTGCGTACCCATTCGAGAATCAAGATAACATACGCATTAAAAATTCGGCTGTACTAAGGAATTCTTGGTGAGAGTAAAAAAAATTTAGTTTTTTTATTAAATAAAATTTTGAGTTTGAATCTTACGAATAAAGAAACAAATGTTGAGAGAGTTTTCCTCTTAATAAAATCTGATACGACTTGATTTTAAATTAATCAAAATTCAATATAATTATCGGATATCAAAAAATTAATTAAAAAGAAAATCTGCTGCAATGCCATCCTATATACATCAAACTAAACAATCATCCAAAACACTTTCGAGTAAAAT